AAAATCAATGATACACTAATTTGAAAACGAGTAAAGCAGAAAATTGTAAAAAAATGTAGTAAAAAAGTTGTGTTATTGTAGAAAAGCGATATTCGATTCGCACTGTGAAAATAATGTGCAAACTTTTCCAACTATTATTTCTTCAAAATCATGAACTATTAAAAAATCGACAATTTTCAATTGGAAAATTCTATGAATGAAGAAGAGTTTTTAATAGTTCGGTAGAGCTTGACTCAATAATAGTGATACAACCGAACTGGAAATGTCGGTAGAGCGATGAATATATATTTATAGTTCTAGTTATAGTATTAATTTCCTATTGCAGATAAATCCATTAAGTATTAAACTTTGAGCCATTCAGCAATTTCAGATAAAGTGGAAAATAACTTAGTAGTTAAATCTAAAATGTTAACCGCTTATTATTTCAATACAGTTCAAGAATTTCTACTTCGGAAATTTCGTGCAAGACAATTTTACCGATGTTTTCGATTATTGATAATAATAATTATTAATTTACGATTTTATCGTTCGGCTTATCTTTGCTCGTTATGTTTTAATGCGTTGGAGGTTGAATGCTCTACTCTTAGTGTTCGTTATTTCACAGGGCGATTTCTCAGGTATTTTTAAGATAAAAAGTCCTTATGGGCATGGGTACTTACTTAGGCCTAACTTATCGAGATTGAAATAAATAAATAACTAAAATTTCTGTTTTTTGTAAATAATTTTTCATATGACATCGATATTTGGACTAGTTTTGAGAGTTAAGTAACATTAGAAACTTAAATTTCAAGTTGGTCTTGCGCTTACATATAGAGAGCACCACCTACATTTTGTTTCTACTTTTTTGCGGCTGTTTGTATCTAATTTTTAAGGAAAATCCGGGAAATGTTCTTTGTTAGTTAACGTGTGTGCAGGATTAATTGGAGATTATTTGATCGGCTGAAGATTTGTTTATTTTAGCTCCTTAAAGATGTGGAGCTTAGGCCACGAAATAAAATGCAGTTTAATTTATGGAAAATACTTTTGTTGAAGCTTTAACAATTTTATGAATATAAAAAGAAGTTAGTCTACAAATAATTTTCACTTCTTGAAAAATACCTGCGCCAATGAAATAAAATCAAATAGGGTCGTTGCACATTTTTTTTCGGTAAAATTGAGTAATACCGAACAAATGAGAGTTTTACAATTTTTCTCCTTATTCTGCCTAGCCATAACGAATTTATCAGTAAAAGTGAAAGCGGTTAAAATTTAATGAAAATGATACCAATGCGGCGCACAAGCAATTTACATTAAAGCACACTTTTTTTGAAAATCTAAAATTACACCTGAATATGTCTGGGAATAAATAATGACACTTTATTTATAATTGAATTACTTCGAGATACTTCAAAATTTAATTTTGCAAATGTTTCTCTAGTTTTTCAAATAATTCGCCTTGACAAAACTTTTGCTGAACTAGCTGATGATTTTGGGATTTCCACAAGTACAACGAGTAGAATTTTGGCAAAATCCCTTTATTATTATTATCCCAAAATTAGCGAGATGTTCAAGACTTTGAGAGTCTGGATGCCAGGAGACCTTTTCGTGCACATTATAGTAAAGTTTACGCCATAATCGATTGTTCCGAAATTGAAATTCAGAAGCCGGAAGATCCAGTCAAACAAGCTCCGTTTAGCAATGCAGTCAAACAAGCTTTATTATTTCACATTTCATCTGTGATTGAATATCTGTGCTGGTTATGGCCATATTAGCGAGGAATTCTATCCGACGTACCGTTTGACGTCACAGCCATTAAAACCGGAATCTGGCTTGACGTCATTTTTAATGACTTTAACTACTGACTAACTTTTTTTGACACAATTTTTATTTTTTTATTTTTAAGTTTCAAACCAAAAAAAATATGTGCAAAGACCCTATTATATGGAAAACGTTTGTACGTAGCGACTTTTGATAAAAATATATTTTTTACACAAAAATTATAGGAGTAATTAATTTTTTTTGCTAAAAAAGTGATGATTGTATCACGACACGAAAAAGTTATGCATTTTTAAAAGAGAAAAAGGTACAATAGGTACAATCCCCTCTACATGTAAGAACAAAAGCAAAATAAAACTAAGTTTCTCATGTTACAAAACCTCAAGTATTAGGATTCGTCTTAATATCGACTATTTAGAAAATTACTTAATAATAGGTTCCAAAAAGAACATGTTACTTTTTAAATTTTTCATGAAAATGCAGAATGATTAAGATCGTCGAAAGTCGAAATAGTGATGATATATAATGATTTCGTTTATTAAAAACATAATTCTTAACATTGGAAAACTAAAAATAAAATATTCTAAAATAAAAAATAAAACATGGGTCAGAAGTAACTACTTAAAGAACAAAAAAAATGATAATAATCTAGAGTGATTAAATAAAATATACAGTTTATATAGGAACATGTTTAAAAATCTCATTTTCATTTAAAAATGAATTGACATTTAAGAATACATTTTTTTGCAGATGCTTTTTACTGAGTCTAGTTATTCGCTCGTTTATGATAGCACCCGCTTTAGAAAATAACTTATCGCATTTCGTTTCACAATAACAATAAATAATCCACAATAACAACAAACAGAAATGCGTATTTGGCAAACCTGGACGAGGTATTACTCGACCTAATTTTGATACCACCAAAAAATTATAAAAAAAAAATATGTCGACCTTACAACGTTTATTACTATTCAAATAACTTTCATTTCATCTCTCACTGTATTTATATTTAAAAATGGCCAGCTTGCTTAAATTCAGGTGCACATTCTGCTTAAAACGTTTGTTATTTTACATTTCAACTGTGATGGAATTTATGTCTTRGACTCTCAGTTTGATCATAGCTCATTTGCAAGTGCACATTCTGCTTAGTGTGCTGTGCTGGTAATGAGCATTTAAYTCYCGWGCTAAGTTCATTGAGAGAAATCMATTTTTTTAAGATTCATTACAGAATGTCAGAAAACTAAATACTTATARACTAAAAATGCTGAATTATATYATCGCAGCAACTAAACAAATTTTCGCTGGTTTCTAGAGAACTGAACAGTAATTCTTATCAACAAGTGATACACAATCATCAAGGCAACGCGCAACTACATACAACATATTTTCCGTTAACAAATGGTTACTGAAACTGCTGCAACTGGATAGAACGATTGACGATGCCGCATCGGTTCTGTGCTAACGCGAACCACTTTTTCAGGTTTATGAGACGGTTCCAAAAAGAACGGTTTAAATTGGCAACGGCTGCAGCTGGATAGATCGCTCGACGGTGTCCGAAGTGCGCACCACTGTTTCGGTTTTGTGAAACGATTCCAAAAAAAAACGGTTAAATCGGCTAACTGTAACTACGGTTGCAGGTTACAAGTTACGTTAAATACGGACCATCCCTACTATAGAGATTTTCACCTTAAAAATACCTGGAAATACTGTAAATTTATTAAAAAACATCCGGCATATGTATAATATATAAGACTTACATTTCCACTATGTATTTCAGGTGGAACAAAGAAGAAACACTCTAAACCATAAACAAGATAACACGACAGTTCAATTAAAATTCGGATGGATTCAGGGAGTATTAATAAGATGTTTATTAAATATTTGGGGCGTAATGCTGTTTCTCAGATTGTCCTGGGTGGTCGGGCAAGCAGGAATAGGTCAGTTTAGAAAATTTGCACGATGAGCCAATTTAAAAAAATTGGTTTTAGGTCAAGCCATTCTACTTATTCTTATCACGACGATGGTTACTTCAATTACCGCTTTGTCCATGTCCGCCATCAGTACCAATGGGGAAATAAAAGGCGGTAAGTAATTTCAATTAAAACAATACTTGCAAGTGCCCCTGAATACAGAAGAATAGAAAGTCCAAAAAGGTTCGAAAAGTTGAGTGCAGTTTTGCTTCAATTTCTTTGTGTTGAGATTCCATCAGCAGTTGAAGCAAACGATATTCTTTCTACCTCTTCGCACAGCTGCCCTTAGCTTGGTTTTGTTTTAGCGCTAGCTTCTAGCACTTTAACTTCAACATCCTAGCACTTTAAGGCATCGCTCTTTTTAATTTTAATATAGAGTAAAGAGCCTTTTTTGTATCATAATCGTGATATCTAGATATTTCTGTTACAACTTCCCAATGGTATTAGGTGGGACGTACTATATGATATCTCGAAGCCTTGGACCCGAATTCGGAGGATCCATAGGACTCATATTCTCTTTAGCTAATGCGGTGGCATGTGCAATGTATATAGTGGGATTTTGCGAATCCCTTCAAAATCTTCTGTCCAGTTATGGATTGTCTATCGTTGATGATGGCATTAACGACGTTCGGATAATTGGTTGCATTACTGCAGTATTGCTAACCGTAATAGTTCTCGTGGGAATGGAATGGGAAGCCAAAGTGAGTGCTCCATTTAACAAAATGTTTCAATTTTTATATTTTACATTTCGTTTTAGACGCAAATGGTTCTATTAGTAATTCTAGTAGTTGCAATTTTTAATTACCTGATCGGATGCATTGTTGGACCAACTAATGATAGCGCTAAAGCCAAAGGATTTGTGGGATTTAATGGTATGGAAAACTTTTATAGCCTTATATCGGGTGCTTTACTATGATTTAGGTTTATATTAACTAGGTTTCTTTCTTTAATAAATAAGAATAAACTGTCCACACATGATCATTGCAGCGTTAAAAAAGATTCCTTTTTAGGGACTGTTATGTGGGATAACATGTTTCCTGATTACCGATATGCAGAAGAAATTTACTACGATTTTTTCAAGGTTTTTGCTGTGTTTTTTCCTGCAGCAACGGGCATTCTTGCAGGTGCCAATATATCAGGTGATTTAAAAGTAAGTAGTTGTCACTGAACGTGTGCAGACACTTTGCGCGCATTAGTTTGAGAGTCTTTTGCGCAAGCGCGTCATGGCGTCTTCAGGGCCGAAAAGTTGAAAATGATGAAAAAGCGCTGAATTTTTTGTCACTATCTACTGATAATACGATAATTGCCCAGGGATACGGGTGAAGACCACAACGGCGCACTGTTTTTCTGTTTAGAGACGGTGTTGTTTAGAAACATTGATCTAAAAGTGAAGAAACTACAGTTTCCAAGAGGTTTACAAATAAATGATTATAAACTTTCGCTTTTTTAGTTCGAGGAAATATTTTTGGAAAAAGACCAAGAAATAATTATTAGGGTTTTGCCCATAATTCAAAAACGCTTAAGGAGGCGAGTGTTCCAATAAAATGTATCTTATAATTTCTCACAAAAAATACCTGAAGATTGACAGTATTTTAAGTTAAACTAAAAAATAATGCGATTTGTGCGTAGAAAGAATTGCTTAATAGAAACTTTGCTAAAACTGGAATGACATGAAAATTTAAAGGAACTTTAGAAATCTGCAGATCGATGAGGGCGGTGAATTTTCCCAATATATTTTTGTAAATTTTTGCTCTCTGGTCGTTTTTTTAAGATAGTCCTAATTATTTTCGGTAAAAAACTGATTACAATTATTTGGTTTTTGTGCCAAATTCGAASCTGAAAAGAGTTTTCTAARGTTYCCTGCAAACCGATGAATAGGGCGACTTTTCTAGCAAATTWAATTTTKWAAYTTTWKACTGAAAACACCCCATTATTGCCAAAAAAAGAAGAAAATCATCAGAAAATAATGCTTTTTTGATTAAAAACTTTTAGTTTTGTGATCGGTTTTGAAGAAAACCTTAATSGTTTTCGGAAAAAAAACGGTAGGAAYTTATTTTCGWTTTTGCCCGRAATTCGACACTGAAAAAAGGTTTTCTAAATTTTTTACAAAGCTATAAACTTAWCTTGTAATTTTGCGAGTAAAAGTTCTCCAGATCGTCAGTATTTTTAAGTGAAACTCTACAAAATAGAGCGTTTTTGAGCAGAAAGTAAAGAAAACAGAAAATTCAGTCAAAACTAAAAAATCACATTGTTTTACAAATTCTACAGTCTTCAGAGGAATGGAGGTGACGAGATTTCGAAATATTCTGTTATAAACTTTCGCTTATTCTGTTTTTTGTTCCAAATTCGAAGCTGGAAAGCTGGAAAGGGATTTCAAAACTTTTTACAAAGTGGCAAAGGATTCGAAATTTATTTCATAATGTTTCGCGGAAAATACCTTAAGATTGTCAGCATTTTTAAGTGAAACTTTAGAAGAAAGAGTAACTTGGCTAGAACTGGAAAATTCTGAAATTTGGAGGCATTTTAAAAACATTATTAATAAATGGCCTTTAAAATAAATCTAAAAAAGGTTTTTAAAAAGTCATCAACATTTTCCCAGCAACGGAACTGAGTTACTTGCCGGTGCGTTGGGTTGGCGCACCAAGCCATTTGCGCAGCACTGCGCCATTTGCTAAAAAATTACTGAGTTACCCAGCTCTACTAAAAACTAATATCTGAATGCACGCAAGTTTAATTGTTTCTACAAATTTAAAACGCGATTACCTGAAAACCTCTGAACAAAAAGCAACAAAGTAAAAACTAATGTAAAAAAAATTGACGGGTCTTTCCAATTTTTCATATTTTCAACTGCAAGAAAGATATTAAGGGTGGGAAGTTTTCAAATTGACACGCGGTATGAAATAATTATGCCTCATATAAAAAGCTGTTTATGTGCATAAGTTCATAACTTTTTACAGCACTTTTGTTGGTTTTGGTGCCACTGAGAAATATTTTTCTAAACACTTTAGAATCTCTATTGTTTAAATAGTTACTTTGATTTCCATTGAAAAAGTAATAAATATAAGAGGTTTAAACTAAAATGGCAACTTCCGAAACATTTTAGGATCCTCAGTCAGCAATTCCAAAGGGCACCTTGCTGGCTGTATTAATAACCACCATATCCTATATTCTAATGGCAGTATTTGCTGGATCTACAGTGCTAAGAGACGCCAGCGGAAATATAACAGATTATCTAAATGGGAATATATCTAGTTGTATTCCCAATTGCACTTACGGATTACAAAACAATTTTCAGGTAGGAAGTTCCTCGAGTCATTAGCCATTCAAATTTCCAGCCTTTTATCATTTCAGGTTATTGAACTATCTTCTTTAGAAGGTTCCATTATTTATGCTGGATGTTTTGCTGCGACATTATCATCCGCTTTGGCGTCTCTAATCTCAGCCCCTAAAGTGTTCCAAGCCCTTTGCAGAGACCAACTGTACCCACGCATTGAGTGGTTTGGACAAGGTTTTGGAGCCAACAATGAACCAGTTCGGGCTTATATTCTGACTTTTATAATTGCTATCGCCTTTATTCTCGTTGGTAATTTTTTGCATGATTCACGATTTTCGATTTCACCAACTCGACTGTTGCAGGACAACTAAATCTGATCGCACCACTCATCTCGAACTTCTTTCTGGCAGCGTACATGTTGATTAATTTTTCAACGTTTCATGCGTCTTTGGCAAGACCAGTTGGCTGGAGACCAACTTTCAAGGTGAGTAATTATTGGAAATGAGCGTTCCTTTCGATACAGACCTCATGGAAGATCGAGAATACTGGAAGAAAGTAGTACAGTCAGCCAAGACCCACCCGGGGTTGTAGAGCTAACTGAAGAAGGAGAAGAAGAATTATTGGAATTTATGCGTGAATCAGCACCGCTCCAAATCTTTCCAAATAATCTACAGGTCTGAATATTCTAAATTTATTATGCTCTGGTTTGATCGGGTGTCGAAAATCTGATCATGAATGGTTTGCGACGAACTTCCAGCACGTCTTTTGGGCGCCTGCCGCCTACAACGTCCACACCTGAGATGTTGGTGCTTCGCGTCCGCGACGCGTTAGGTCTGAACGCGGCATAATGTTTCTTTAACTCTGAGATTATATTTTAATTATAACCACCCAAAAAATATTATTATTACAGCGTCAAAATTATTTACTTATTATGTTTTATATTACAATAATTTTCTTTTTAGTTCTATAACATGTGGCTTAGTTTGGCCGGAGCCATACTATGCGTTATAGTTATGTTCTTAATTTCATGGTGGACATCACTGTTAACGTTTGTTTCGATATTAGGCCTGTATCTAGTCGTCTCATACAGGAAACCAGGTAAAACCGATTTAATGTTTATTTAATTTGATAATGGAGACACAATCTAGATGTGAACTGGGGATCCACAACCCAGGCCCAGATCTACAAGAGCGCTTTAAATGCGACCCAACAATTAAATAACATGGAAGATCACGTTAAGAACTATAGGCCACAAATATTAGTTCTAACGGGGATGCCCAGTGAAAGGCCCGAGTTAGTGGAATTTGCCCACTTTTTAACAAAAAATCTGTCAATGTTGGTATGTGGACATATTAATCCGGTAAGAATCATTGACTACTTACTCATTTGTATTTATATTCTAAAAGAGATGGACAAAATTAGTGAATACTAAAATTACATTTTGCCACACAAATACTTCACCATTACACTTAATTATTTATTCCGACTAGAAATGAACAAATAAATGACCGAAAAAAGTAAATGGTTAGCACATACGTTTAAACAGTGTGTTTGATTTGTAGGTTTCAATGTCTCAAAACCAACGACATGTGCTGCATTACAAAGCGAACAGTTGGCTGAAGGCGCACAAGTACAAAACATTTTATCAGCAAATTGATGGTTTTTCATTCGTCGAAGGCGCGCGAGCCCTTTTAAAAGTGTGCGGCATAGGAAAACTGCGCCCCAATATTTTAATGGTGGGGTACAAAACAGACTGGCAAACATGTAACACTGAAGATTTGACTAATTACTTTCAAATTTTACAGTAAGTAGATTTTCGGCATTTCAGAATTAGGCCTAGGTAACACAGTGGATTTTCAGGTGTTGACGCACTAACACCAATACGACTTATCGCATTAATACAACGCGTCAACTCTTTTTATGACGCAGTAAACTTATAATACGATAAATGTGCTGGAGATAACAGAAGACCTTGTGTTGCGTGATGTGTAGCGGTTCGTACGCCGGGGGGCGAGGCTTTTAGCGGTGCAGCGCGTTCAATCTTTTTTGCTTTGGATTTACTGAAGACAGACTATGACACACGCCGGCTGCGTAGTTTTAATGAAGTCGCAACATAGTTTTTTCTTGTAAACCTAGTTGTTTCACAAGCGAATTTTCAGAGAAAAGATTCGAATATTTAGAAGGGTTCGACTATTTAACAGGAGTCGGCAATCGTTGAAATAACAGTTTTTGTTGTAACATAAAAAATTGTAACGCGTTCAGGCAACATTGTCAATGTTTCAATTTGTGCCAACACTACATTCTTTTTACGATTCGCGATTCGAAATTGGGGTATAAATAGAACCGATACCGAACCGAGATAAATAAGAATTTATCACTAGATAAGTATTTTGAGCATGAACTAGTTTTGGTTATCCGAACCATCTTGAATGAGATTAACGTGTTAAAGTGTTACACCGTAAGACGCGAGGTGTTATAACGCATTGACTCACAGAGCGGCATCATCGCAAAAGTGTCACTCAACACAGTGTCACCCAGGTCTATTTAGATCAATTCAACCGACGTATATTATAATTGAATAGTTTAGAAGCAAAACCGCCTAAGTGCAAGATTTTGCAAAACTAAAAATTCAATATATATATGGAGCCAAAAACGCCTGAGTGGCACTTGGGTTGTGTTGCTACTGAATGTATTTTCGTTAGAATTTTACAAAGCTTCACATCACAGAGACTAAGTGATTAATTATTTTATTATTTTCAATCATTATGTAGTTCGCAAATTGAAAATGTCGAAGAACAAGATAATAATTACATAAATTTTTGTCAGATTACGAGTAATTTTGGTTGTTGTATTGCTAAACAATGTTCGCTTTGTCGTTTTTGTATTTTTTGATAATTTGTTTTAATTCAAAAGCAAAACAACCCAAGTGCCTTTTTGGTTTAAAAATGTATTTAAAAAAGTTTTTATTTCTTGAATCGTAGTTAAGTTTTTGGACTTAATTTGAATCGTTCTATTACACAAACTAATTTCCTTTATATGCTTAGAATTTTCCATTGTAACAAAACTTTGACGATTAATTTGCCCAAATTATAAACCTTGTGTGACTTTTGCGTGCGGTTTTGCTTCTAAGCCCTTCCATTGATACACAAGATAAACTGAGTAAAACTGAATGGTCAATTTTAGGCCACAGCTAAACGTATCACATATTAAACGATATTTAGATGCTCGACACCCTTTATTACCGGTGAAAATGTAAGATTAGCAAAAAGATCATGATTAAAGCAAATTGCTTTTTCTCAGTCAACTGAAATAAAGTAAAATTTTTACTATAGCAGTCTAGTCGAATTCATCACAAACCTTGCTTAAAATTTAATCTAAACTGTTTTAAGTTTCTGTTTTTTTTTTAATTTACTTTTAACTACTTTAAGGAAAGTGTATATTTTTGTGCGCGAATGACACATTTAGAAAAACAACTATTATCGTATCATATGCATGCTGACCGTTTGAAAAAGAAACAGACCCAGTTTTGAACATTTTTGAACATGAAAGAACCGTCGGACACGTTAACTTTATTTTCCACGTGGATTCATTTTTCGAGAAATAAACTGCCTCTATCTTAAAAGCGCATTAAGCATGGGGGTGATCAACCTTAAATGCAAAGGAAGGTCCGGTAATTTATTTAGGTACCTGGTTTACTTTGCCGAGGCAAAATCGAATTACTGGAAAACGCTAGACATGCTTTAATTTATAAAAAGGTCTCCACACATTTTCTGATGAGGAAATAATGGATTGAGTTTTTTGTTTGAAGATTGAAACATTTTAATAAAAATTTGCAATTGGACAAAAACAGATTCCCTTTCAAACTAATAATTAAATTGTTTTAGTAACGCATTTGACTTGCATTTGGGCATTGCTATTCTTCGGTTACAAGGAGGGCTCGATATAATTGGCAGATTTAAAAACCAGGAGCAGAATAGTAAAAGTAGCCCCAGTGCTATGAAAAGGAATTTATCTTACAGTCAAATTTCACAAGGTATTTTTTACGTTTATTCAATATCAGTAGCATTTAATTTCTGTGTAATCCCAAACTGAATTACGATCTTTCTGGGACTTTGGCGCCTTCTTGAACAGTTTTTGAGAATTACATTTCATGCATGAAAATATTGTGGCAAGTAATTAATTAGTAGCACATAAAAACTTTCTTGATGTTCAGCTATTCAACTAATGCGAGCATTTAATCAAGCAATTATTTAAATAATTTTCAATTATAAAAAAACGTTGAAGGCAGCAGTGGCAGCGAACAATCAATTTATACTCGAAAAAACGAAGAAGCAGTTAGCGAAGCTCCTGATGAATCATCTATATATAAAATAGCAAAATCTTTTACTGAATCCGCGGTGGAATTGAGATCAGAAGGACAAACAGAAGTTGAAAACAACACACCTTTGCCTCCATTATTTCAATCAAATCTGAAAAGGAAAGGAACCATTGATGTATGGTGGCTATATGATGATGGAGGTAATCAGTATAAGAGCTTTTGGTTCAAAATAGTTATTACTTCGATGACCTCGTTAAAGGCTACTTTAGTACTGCATATTCAACATTTTTTTAGGCTTGACGCTGCTCTTACCCTACATAATAAGCACAAGAAGGAACTGGAGCAGTTGCAAGCTGCGAGTTTTTGCCATTGCCAGCAATTCAAACAGCTTGGAATTGGAGCACAGAAATATGGCCAGCTTATTGGCTAAATTTCGAATAGCATATTCAGATCTTCAAATCGTACCTGATATTACTAAGCCAGCCAGCGAAAGTTCTCAATCGTTCTTTGATTCTCTCATTGCGGATTTTAGGAGTAAATCAGATGGTTCGGTTTCGGATGAAAACGGAAGGCGTAAGTATACTTTTGTTATTGCTTCGTAAGAGTTAACAGGGCAATGTTGTTACATGTGTTGAGTTGCGCTATTGATTTGTTGCCGCTCTCTGAGTTACTAACCTATAACTCATCGGTTAATGAGTTGTAATTCATTTATTAAAACTTTACGAGAGCCGAGACTGGAATTCTTACATCTAAAAAAACAGATCATCAACGTTTTTCTGAGTAACATTTTCCTACTTTGTTTAAACAACTAAAAAATAATGTTAAAGTAATGTAGATTTTTCCTGCAATAGAACTGAGTCCAAAGAAAGTCGACGAGTTTTCTTGTAAAATCGATATCTAATTTTTTTTACATAAAATATTCAGTTTCTCAGGATTTTGCAGTAAAACGTTAGGAAAAACGCGGTTTTTCTGTTTAGAGACATTGTTGTTTACAAATATTGACCTAAAAGTAAAGAAACTCCAGTTTCCAAGAGTGCTTCAAATAAATGAATATAAACTTTCGCTTTTTCAGTTCGGGGAAATATTTTTGGAAAAAGACCTAGAAATAATGATTAGGGTTTCGTCCATAATTCGAAGCTGCAAAAAGTTTTCCAAAAATGTTTGCAAAGCGGTTAAGGAGGCGAGTGTTCCAAAAAAATTTCTCTTATAAATTTTCACAGAAAATACCTGAATATTGTCAGTATTTTAATTAAAACTAATAATGCGATTTTTGCGTAGACAGAATTGCTTAATAGAAACTTTTCTAAAACTGGAATGACCTTAAACTGAATTTAAAAGAACTTTAGAAATCCTGAGAGCGACGAGGGCGGTGAATTTTCTAAATCATTTTTGATTTGATTTTAATCAAACTTTTGCTCTCTGGTCGTTTTTTCAAGATAATCCTAATTAGTTTCGGTAAAAAACTGGATAAATTTTTTGGTTTTTGTGCCAAATTCGAAGCTGAAATGATGAATGAGGTGAACTTTCTAGCAAAATTAATTTTGTAACTTTTGGCAGAAAAGACCCCATTATTGTCAGAAAATAGGAAAATCATCAGAAAATAATGGTTTTTTTGCGTTTTCGATTAAAAACTTTTAGTTTTGTGATCGGTTTTGAAGAAAACTTTAATTGTTTTCGACAAAAAACGGAAGGAATGTATTTTCGCTTTTGTCCCAAATTCGATGCTGAAGAAAGTTTTTGTAAAATTTTTACAAAGCTATAAATTTATCTTGTAATTTTTCGCGTAAAAGACCTCCATATCGTCAGTATTTTTAAGTGAAACTCTGCATTTTCGCTAATTCTGTTCGTTTTTTGATAGAAAATTATTTGATTTTTGTTCCAAATTCAAAGCTGGAAAGGAATTTCAAAACTTTTTACAAAGCGACAAAGGATTCGAAATTTATTTCATAATTTTCCGCGGAAATTCCTTAAGATTGGCGGCATTTTTAAGTGAAACTTTAGAAAGTTGAGCATTTAGAAGAAAAAGTAACTTGGCCAAAACTGGAAAATTCTGAAATTTGAAGACATTTAAAAAATATTATTAATGAATGACCATTCCAATAAATCTAAAACATGTAAAAAAAGTCATGAACATTTTCTCAGCAACGGAACTGAGTTACTGCGTCGGTGCGTTGGGTTGGCGCATCAAGCCATTTGCGCAGCACTACACCAACTTCTAAAAATTCACCCAAACTAACCCAGCCCCAATTTATTTCCAGAAACGCGTCTATTTTTTTATTTTATTATAAATTAAATGCAAATTAGCAATGGGTTTTGTTGTTGATATAATTCTACCAACTTTATTTTAATGTGATAAATATTTTTACTTATTATCCGGCATCATTTCAAACACTTCTTTTCCTTCTTTAATAAAAACACATACAGGGTCATTCCATAGTTCTGAATCACCTTAAATATAAATCCAACATTTCATTTTTTTTAATTCCATATAACGTTGTTGAAACAAAAATTGCGGAATACGTAAACTTATCTTGAATTCGTTATCTTCTTATCGAAATCGCCTGACCGTTTGGGTATTATCTCATAAAAAAATTGAAACTACGTACTTGGTGGTATCGGTCATCCTTGTCTTCTTGCAGTTACCGTTACGGACTCTGAATTAATGGCAGTGAAAGACAAAACGAACAGGCACATGAGATTAAGGGAACTGTTACTGGAACATTCCCATGAAGCCGCAATGGTAGTAATGACTTTGCCGATACCCAGGAAGAACATCGTATCTGCTCCTACTTATTTGGCATGGCTGGAATTGTTAACCAAAGACATGCCTCCCGTACTTCTTGTACGTGGCAATCAAACTTCCGTTTTAACCTTTTACTCGTAGTTTTTAGTTTGATTATATGTATGTGAAATATTAATTCAATATTGAATATATGCGGGCTGCTGTACACTCCCTAGAAGAAACTCTTTTTTCGACCTGATATTATACAGGGTGTCCCATAAGTAATAGAAAAAAATACTGCGGATTTCTGGCTTAAATAAGTAATTCCTCACTTGTAGTGAGAAATGAACAAATGCCATGTTGTGTATCAAACCCCAAGATGTTGGTGAGTTGAAAAACTACATTAAAAAAATTGACGCCCTTTATTTCTGTTTCGGTTGACATTTGTTCTAAGCTAAGTTGAGCAAAATCGTATCATTTTTACCACAGGAATTTGCCAGTATCTTTATTCATTATTATTTATGGGATACCCTGTATATTGTTCTGTGCTGTTCAATAAGGAACTAGAAATAAAATCAATTTAACACAATCGTTTATCGTGACACTTTAAACGCGTTTGTTAAAGAACAGAGCATATCATTTCTGATATGCTTTCAGGCGACAATTCGTATCACAAATGATAATAACTTTAATTATCTCCACTTTTATAGCGTACATATTTCTCTAATGACGCAACTTTCGCTTAGGTGTAATTCTAACAGGTTTCTGCGCTTTTTATTGCGAAATGTTTTATAACTATGATTAAGACAACATAAGAACAATACATACAGTATTTTAATATTAAGTAAATTTGTATTTAATTTTTGTACCGAATTACAAGTAATTTATTAACAATGATTTTTTTAAGCATTTTTATTATAAGCAACCGAAGATGCATGCACCTTACCTATTCTAAGCGTACATTATTATGTGAAATTTTAGAGTAATGCCTAAATCTTCAAATATTACAATGAAATACGAGGGTCACTGGGCTGATTTACAACTAAGGTTCCCGAAGCCAATTTTTTAAATAGTGGTTTATTGATTTTAATAAAAGCTCATGGTAATTTTGTTATTAACATGAAATCGAGTTTCTGTCGACTAATGTTGAAAAACCATCTGTTTGATCACCTTGAAAGGTGAAACAAATATTGCTACTGTACGTGAAAGTGTTCACTTCCTGAAGATCAAAACTTATCGATTTTCTCGAAGTGACTAATCATTTAAAGATACGTGTGTTCAATGGTACTTAGAAAAATTCGGAAACGATCCAGATATTTATAAGAAAATTATTCTCAGCGATGAAGCTCATTCCAGGTTAAACGGGTATGTGAACAAGCAGAAATCGGAAGAATATCAAGAACGTTGATTGATTCCTCGTTCCTGCGATTTAACTCCATTGGACATTTTTTGGGCTACATTCATTGGGGTCATTGGTTTACAGCAATTATCCAGAAAATTTACACGCTTTACAAGATCAATATTGAACGACATATGACCTGATTTGTGTGAGAGAGTAATGGAAAAATTCCGTGGAGGAATCAAGTTTTGAAGTGCACAATTTAAACACTAACCATAAATACGCCGAAACGCTGACATACATATTTCTTAACAAATATCTGCCGGGATACTTTGGTGCCGATGTAATATTTCTTAAGAAATCTTAACGAGCTGTAATTTTTGTAATAAACCTTATGGCCAAGTTTTAAGCAAAATGCATTTTTTTTTAAGTTTTTCTGTAAGTAAACCGCAGTAACCCCTTAAAATAAATGACCAACATTTTTCAAGCTGTATATTTTTCACAACTTTTTTGACAATTAAATTAAGACATATTTTGAGATCTTAAGTTAAGAAACAATTTCATCGAAGTGCTGATGTTTGTTTTCAAGTCTTTTTCTACTGTTGTATTTTTACTCGAAACAAAAAATATTACATTAATATAAAATAATTTATGTTGTAATTCGCTAAGTATCGTATGTAGTCGCTCTCACGAGAAACTATTTGTTTATTCTGCGCATTCTTTTTCTTTATATTGTGTTTTTCCTTTCATTCAATTCAGTCTCGTTACTAATTATTTAACTGGCTGACATTACTTACCCCTACTATATGCGACCGTTTAGCTCTCATTTTGCCAAGGTCTTGGTCGGTCATATCTTATTATTAGAACAAAAAAGGTGGGAATCACTTCAATCCACAGAATCAATAAAACACACAGGTGTCAGATAATGCAGGTATTATTTTATTATTGGGTCGTTAATTGTACCTTCACTTTGTGCTATTAAATAGTTATAAGTAGCAAATAACTTGGACATCGACGTAGGAAAATATGTTTTATTGTTTATGTTCAGCTCTCCAATGTCTCTCCCCTTATTTTCAAAAATAAAACTGCTTTTATCGTTAAACAAATCGAACTTCTCTAACGATATACCAAGATTGTATTGTTCATCTTTATACTTGTACATCGTGTAAATTGAACTGTTGCATAAGATGGATTTAATTTCCTCATAATCGATACAATTAAGTTTCGCCCTTTTAATGAGGACTAGTTTGTTTTTGATTAGTTGGAATGTCAAAAGCAACCTACCTAAAACATATTTTGTGTGTAAAGCGCCGCTTGTTTAAAGACTATAGAATCAGAAGATGATAAATTATAAAATACTGATTGACACATCCACATTAATTATTCTGAAATTGAACAACCTGTAAAACCCTTAAATTGGTCCCGGCTACTGAGCATTTCAAAATAATATAACCAGGAGATAGTTTCGCAGGGTTTATTCTACTACTACTTAAACTTAAACTACTACTACTAATTTAAATGCTGTTGTTGGTGCAAAATACTTTGTTTTGTTCTCGGTCTCTTCACGTACATATAAAATTTGGTTTGGACGCTACAATTCGCAAAAAATTAATTTGGAGAAAATTGTCGGGATAAAACGGTCTTTCCCTCGCCCAATTTATCCGCTAAATACAGACCTTTAATACATTTTATACACTTTTAGTAAAAAATAAAAGGTTTGGTGCAAAAATTAAATAGCTGAAAGTTGTAGCTTTGCTTTTCACTTATCATCATTATGTGATCGATTAGCGATTTAAACAAAAAAACGTACTTTCCAAGCAAACCTGGATAACAGCTCTAGAAAATTGTTCACTTACCTTTAACGTAAAGATAATCCGTAGAGGAAATAAGCGTGAAGTCTCCCATCTCAGCAATATCGTTTTGATCGACATCCATGCACATAATCTTCCAACATAATTTCGATTTATCAAAAAAGAAGGCTTGCGATTTGCTGTCATTACCATATAGGGAGACTAAGAGCAGCTGACCTTTGAAGTCGCAACATTTTAATTTCCTATCGCTCACTGGAAGAAAGATGGGAGAACCCCAAGTATCTGAAATCAGTTGAATTTAAGATGCGTCTTACAGAAAGAAGCATATGAAGAACTTCCGATTCTCTATGGCATAAGCATGTTAATATCTGCACACATTGATAAATCACTTTATAGATTATTGATAGAATTTTTTTTTGACTTGATAGCAGAGAATAAATACTTCATGACAACATAGATCATGCAGTTCACTGTTCTCGAAATACAGGGTTTTAAAGGTGATACGTTATATTTTTTTAGTTTTTCAATATTTCAAAAACTATTTCAGATTTTTTTCAAGTGTTAGTGGCGTAGATTTTTTGGGTTGCGCGAAATTCTTTGCCCCTAGACCAAGTCGGAACGTGTCTACCTATAATGTGAATAGAGCATCACATTAGTCATTTTCCAGTCGTCGTTTAACAAACTTATTGTATCTTTATTTAGAACAATTTGAAATGGTTTTAGAAAAATTAATTGAAATGGTACTGAATCCTATTCATTCTAAAATATTCATAATATTTGTATCGCCTATCGTTAGAATTCAATGTTGGTAGCAAACAAATCGTGATTTATGAATGAGTAGCTTGGTTTATTTATTAATGTAATTGCGAAAAGCTGCGTGCGGGAAACGATACATTCCTGACCCGTTGATGTCCTAAGAGAGCAGTTTTAAAGAAAAATTGCATAAAATATTCATGCTGAAAACCATAAGAAAAAATTTCCCAATCAACAACTAAAAATTTGTAAKAAATCAATCCTAAGGAAATTTCGCGAAATATCGAAGGTGAAAAAAATAAAACTTTATATTTTTCACTCCTTGTATTTCAAAAACAATGAACTTCACAGATCATGATGATGATAATCTGCTGAATTTACGCGAATTGTGACTTAATTTTGCATCACCCTGTATAATTAGTTCGATTTCATTCATCGAAAACATATGAAGACCAAATTTCAAACAGTCCGATATTATTTTATTGTTTGCTCTTGGTGATTATCGAATTTTTTTATTTGTTTTATTTTACTATTGTATTCAAAATGTACTCATTTATCCTATCACACAGAAAACTGGCTGTTTTTTCGTTCTTTTTCGAAAGGTAACAATGGGTTTTTCGTAAAAACGTCGTATCACAGCAAATAATTAAAACTAGGCCTTACCGGTTTTAAAATCGTAAAAAATTATGTTTTCCTGAACGATTCTAAAATTTCCCACTCCCCCAACTATATACACACAGTCGTTTACTACGGCACATTCGAAATGCCGTCGTGACACTGGAAGTCTGAAATTTATGATTAATAAAAAATGCGCCGACATTTTCGACAAGGTTTAGCACAAATTTTAGCCAAGTATTCTAGGTCCGAAAATAACCCTGGTTTGCTGTATAAACGATAGCCCTAAAATGCTTCGTTACGTATTTACAGGGTGTTAAACTTAAAAAAAAAAGTAAAATGATAAATTTCTTCAAAACGAATGGAGACAATTATCGACTTTTCCAGAGGTAATTATTTTCGGAGGTAGAATACGTGGTTAAAATAATACCCAATCATTAGTACATTTCATAAAGTTTTGTAAGGGAATCAATCTCACTGGTCAAAAATCCGGTTAAAAATACGAGCCATTGCAGGAGTTGAAAATCGAGACAATGAAATTAAATAAAATAACAAGAAAATTTGGAATGTTTTTTTTTAAATATCTCAAAAATGATAAATGCGACTTCATCTTTAGATGGTCTGCTGATCGCCACACCATCATACATTTTTATGGTTTAAGATGATATCATATCAAGGTGATATGATATTACATTCACTTTCAAAATTCTTGCACCCCCTCTGTATTTACTACATACATTTAATTTATACAAAATTGTTTCATTGGTAAATAAAACCTACTTGTTTACAATTGAGCAAAAGCGCGTTGCACTTGATACATAGCCACCTACAATCGGAATAATCTATCCAAGAGAGAGTGCGAAATGCTCAACTTATCGTTGCTGCTACAGAGGAATGGAAAAATATCCCTCAAGTAATCCCTCAAGTAATTAAACATGCTGTTGATTTTTTTAAATTTTCAGTTGTTTGTCAATCCGGATTGAAATTTTATTTTTATAATTGATAATTCGTTAAAGTTGAATCCATTTACCCCATTTTTGCAAGCTTTTAATCTAGATTTAATACCGGGGTCTACAAGGTTTTACAAGAGTATCCAAGTAACTAGAGGGGTACAGGGGCAAAACTTTTGAAAGCGAGTGTATATTAAAATGTTGATATATACTTCAGTGATAACAGACCATCTTGCCCTGTTATCACTGAAACTCATAGTTCTTCTGGGGGCTCGAAAATACGATCTTTGAAAAATTAACCGACATTAACCGGTTTCATACAACGCGAACATTATTAGCTACATTCCGCTAAGTGTGTCACAGTCAATTTAATTTTTCGATACTTTAACTCACACACAAAGCCTCTATACCTACTTCGAAAACGTAACTGATTCTCCCTCAAATGGTTTAAAATATCAACGGACAGAATACATATGAGATACACTGTATGATTGAACATGTTTCTACTTACATAGTTTTTCTTTCCCATGTGCCTTTAATGGTGTCGTACATCCAAAAATTTCGATTCCACTGCCCCAAACCCAAAATAAATTCTCCTCCAAATAAGCAAATGTATTGCTTGTAGGATGTTAAATGGAATCCGGTCAAATCGTCAGTAATTTTTGTACCATCAATCGACAGAAATTCATCAAAACTTTCCGACTCTTCTACTATAGAAAAGAAACGCATTGCATTTAGTACGATTTGTTTTTATATTTAAATGATACTGTATTGAAACGATAACTTTCGAGTGAGTTAGTTTTAATGATATGCCTATTAAATATTATTCAGCATCCTAAAAAATCAGATAATATACTTACCATAAATTACATGCTCATAAAGTATGTCTCTTTTACTATTATTTGTTGGTACAGGAAATTGTCCAAGTAGTAATCCGGGAACTTTCGATTTCCGTCGACCTTTCGAATTACATAAATGTTTTGCATAAATGAGGTGTTCTCCAGAAATACTACTGTTCTCGATTATTTTATTATATTTTAACTTCAATACACCATTCAGTACTGCAGTAATTTGAACATTGTCAACTATATTAGGAAAACTAAGCATTTCCTGAATTTCAAACTCGGTTAATTGACGAAAGTCGATGCAATTGAGCAATCGTAACACTACTCCAAACTGGTCCTTTTCCTCATACTTTTGCTGGTTTTCATACCACCAATTCATGGCTGCTTGAAAAATGTTAAACTCCTCTCTTATATTCAAATACACGTGTCCTAGATAGGAGCAGATATCGTCCAAATTCAGTTCAAAAATATATGGTCCTTCAATCACAGTATAAGATTCTTCTAGCGCCAAAAATTTTGCTTGAATCCATAGTGGCGATATACTTAGCATTTCGGTGAATTTCCACATCATTAAACATGTCTCGGAATTTAAAATTCTTTGCAACAGCGATACACATTTTTCCTTAATAGCGGTAAATTGCAACATACACGCACATTTCAGAATTGCATAAATGTCCATATCATCTGTTAAGTGCGCATCATCTCGCAAAAGTACTAACATCGTTTGAAATGTCTCTAAATCTACATCCTAAAATGATAATAATCAATAGTAGCATTATTGATACCATCGTTTAGAGCTTCAAATTAAAATAGACCCGTTAAATTAAGTCTTAATTATTTGTATTAAATTTCTGCAATATTACAACCACGAACAAAAATTAATTATACAGGGCAAAACTGATGCAAAATTAGAAGGCGGGGATTAGGTAACATTCTTCTGGAGGTGTTAGCTTCGGGCAAGTATTTAGAGAGTAAATAAGAAATAGTAAAATACCTATAATAAATCCTACACAGTTGATATATTAGCAAAAAAACTAAAATTAAAAATTTGCGACATCAAATTTGATCAAACCTGTAAATGACGCTGTCCTAATTAGCATTAAATAAATACCTATGTCATTACTGTTCAGGGTGGCTCACGGTTGAGGGCATGTTAGACGCATACGCAAAATGCGACTTTGGATTGTTCCAAGCACGCCCGTTCCAAGAACAAGCGTGATCTAACGACTAAAAATATCGGCAATGCAGCGTTACCACTTATACGAAAAAGTACCATTAATATTGATACTTCAAGTGAGACACCCTGTATATAATAGTGCTTCTGAATTCGCAATTAGTTTTCTAAAGTTTATCTCGCTGTATATCTCTAACGATTTTCGATTAATCAAATATTTTCTATTCAGGTATAGGAACATGATATATCACTTAAAAGAGATTTTGATAGTCTTTCAAGTTATTTGATAATACATAGGGTGTTGTATTTAAAAAAAAAAATACTTTTTACCATGTTGGAATAGAGCTGTAAAACTATTAATTTTACGCGAGCTTGTATCATGTAGAACATAATTCTCCATACAAAACTAACACACAATACTTTGGTATGGGACACCCAAAAATATAAGTTTTTACGAATAGATACAGAACCGTAGATACAAACAACAAATTAGAACCAAGTTTTGAACGAAAAAATTAGATTAAGTACCTACTCGAAAACCGTTAGAGATGGGCATAGGAAAGTGTTGGAGAAAAACTTTAGGAACGTAATTGCCAATTTAAAAACGGTATCATATACACAGAGGGCGTCTCATTTGAAATAGTAAAGTTGATTATACTTTTAGGTATGAGCAGCATCGCTGCATGACTGAAAATAACAAAAAACGCAATATTATGGCCTTCGTTTGAAGCAAAGACTATCGCTATAACATTTTGATCATTTGCCTACAGGACATTTTTCTGAATATTTTGTATTTTTTTTATTTTAAAATATTTCAATCACGTGTAGATTTTCCAAAAACCAACTAGCCCAGCTTGTACATTGGAGGGTAATAGTACCAATTTCCTATTTAAGTTTTGCAAACCAGTGGCTCACCTGTATTTGGATAACGCTTTGAAAACTTTCTCTAAAGTTTCCTGCCAACATCGCAGAAAAATAATCACTATTTGAAACAAGAACACTTCTATCACATGTTAACAATTTATCTTCAAATTCTAGTATCACAGTTTTCTCTTGTTCTGTCATTTTCTCACAATTTCTTAAGTGTTTTCAGATTCGGGAAATTTCAACTACCTGCAAAAGAGATCAGGAGATTTTGGTTGCAATTTCACCTTTAGCCCTTTTCAAATTTTCAAATTAAAGGTTTTTGCCATACAACGTCAGAAGGCGTAGTAAGATTTCGTTCAAGATAACCTTCTTTCATACATGGTGTCTCTATTATATGTGGCTGTCCAAATTTAAAGTAATAAAAGCATTTTCAACGAGAGTGTCTAGAGAAACTAAACAATGTAAATATGCCGTATTCAAATAGCAACTGAAAAATCCAGATATTTTGTTATCTTTGAGTATGTAGATGCGTACGTGAGTTTTAATTTGGTCGTCATATGATGTCTACTCGAGTAACGTTATCCTGACTCAATAAATTTATGAGATTTTAAGCTAGGCTCACCACACACGGTATAACGTCGCAGTACGATTTGAACAGATGCGATAGCAGAACAACATTGAGTCTAGGCAGCTCTAGTTGAAGAACTAAAAAAGTTACATTAAAGCTGTAAAAGTGGGAGTCTCACTAAACACTATACTCCGGTGTGTTGTTTGATATTTTCTCAAATACCCTTCAATTTTAGAAGCTTTAAAATTGTCTTTAATTCGTAATTCTGATTTGTTTTCCTGACTGCGAGTACTTGTTATGATATTCTTATCTGTCCTGGGTCTCAGTCAAACTGTAAAGTAAAAATTTTTTTTTAACATCGTTTGTTTCATTACGTTTCGTCGAGACAACAGCGCCATAATCAGAYTTAAAATTTACACAAACTACAAACACCAATTCACAATTAAAACATGTTGTATAAAAACTATAATTTATAGTGTTAAAACATTCATCAGTTTTTGAGGGAAAAAATTCTTCCTTTTGGGAGAGCAAAACACTGGAAAAACTTAGCTCATGATTGGTAAAAATCGACGTTTTTTTACGTCTTCGCCTTCTTGAAACCTTAAATTTGTCTGAATTATTTTCTACATTTGCGAGTGTATGCACGTATTGAGATAAGCAGAAATAGTTTCAATTTTTCACCAGTGTACTGGGTGTTCCATACTTATGGCTTTATTACTAGCTTAATTATTGGTAGTTATTATTAAGTAATTTAATTCGTAAAGTTGTGATAGTTTTTGACGGTTTGTGATAGTTAACGCTGCATTATTATCATAACATATAACAGTACTGCTAAATGGCATCTGAAATCATTACTCAAATCAGAATTTGTTGTTATCTGTGGGATTTGGAAACAAAACCCGAAACGTGTTGATTGCTGGAAAGACGCATCTTCTCGTAAAAATTATACTGTTAAGTGGTACATTTACATCTTTTGGTTCACTCACCTAAATAGTTACAGCATCTAATAATTGTACCACTGGAATTCTACGGTAAACTGGTAATTCATATTTTCCATGCCACTAAATGAACTCTGGAAAAGTAACCAAATTGATTAAATTTGTATAAAAAACTAAAACAAGCACGTTGTATGGTCAGCTGGTTTTTATTTACATCGTGTTTCTAACCTAAACATTTCGTCTAAACCACAGAACATACCCCATACATAGGGGGAATATTTTGTGGTCTAAACTGGTCTAAACCTAAACGTCAGGAGCGGATAAATCGAGAAGCGGCTAGAAGAGAACAGAATCCTTGCCTTGCCACGCTATGTTAAATTTGAATTTGGATCCTCAAACTGCCTCAAATTCTCCATACGCCGTTTCTTTGCCATGCTATACAGGGTGTTATTTAAAATGCTCATGAGGTGATTCTGTTTTTATAAGTTTTCTAATTAAAGTTTTTATGAGTAACTAAAATGGCAGAAAGGCCAATGTGGTCGATAGTCTTTTTAGAATAGGAATAAATATTGTTTATATGAAATGAATAAGTAATGCCTTTTCAATTTACATGGTCTTCATTTTCAATACTATAGTTTGGACGATATTCTATATGTATTTTGTTTGATCGAAAACAATTTTAGTCTGTTGGAAATTAATAGGTAAATGACTTTTTAAATTGCTGAATGAGTTGAAATTTAAATTTGAAATGCTGGCCAGAGAAACACCACTTTTAGGGCTTTAGAATTTTGGTTTAATTAATTGTCTCCTTGTCTTGCAGGCAAGATCTTGGCTCCGCATAAGCAGAGAGTGATGATTAGTCTGTTTTGTGCATTAGTGCTCAAGTGCATAAGCCTTATTCTATGATTAGTGCTAAAAGTTTCGTGCTCTCCCACATAGCAAAATGATATTCCCAGAATATACCTGGAACATTGATGTGATGTACATGCATATTCCTGGGACATACATGAGTTACATTATGAACATTCCATGCATGTCCCAGGAATCTGTCAGAGTTAATACACTGAAT